TCGTTAAAGTATATATGATGTAATAGGTGATACTCCGCAAATCATTTGTAGCTCTGTGTGACTGCTTGTGCGACAAAATAATTTAGATATCGATCCCCAAAATATTTCGAATTTTTTCCCTATCTATCTGAATAGCATTTATTTATGGGTTTATTTCCTCCGATGTTAGAGGTTATTCCTACTAGATTTCGACAGCGACAAGCGCGAGTATATTTATATAATGTTACTAGGTCTTTATTACTGAGCGGTCGGGCAGGTGAAATAAAGAAAAATAGTATGTATATGCATATTCCCCAACGCCTTTGTAAATGTTGAGATCTTCAATGCACATTCCACATGCCCTTATTCTCTAACACAAAATTTTGGCGTAAAGGTTTGTTGCATATTCTCCCGCTTCGACCCCAGCATAAACTCGGGTTCAGAGAAGACGTGACATGGAGAACATTTAAAAAGGTAAATTTTAGTTATTCGTCGCTGATTATTCCTTTGCGTATATAATATTAACAAAACTCATTGTTATTTTTTGTGATTTATTGACAACCGAATACATCTGTTTTTTTTCATTATGTCTAGCGAAATATACCAAAAGGTCTATAACTTTCTCACCACTTCCCCTTTAGATCATATAACTGCTGTTTCTGTTATCTATCAAGTTATAGAAGATGAACCCTGGATTTCGAAGGAAGATTCAAGAACGATAGTACAGAATGCTATTAATTCCTCGTTAAATATATATTCTAAAAGTGCGTTATCCCAAAACAAGCTTCTAAAGATTCTTGCTCAGGTTAGTTATAGTTTTTTCGAAATAAACCCTATTATTACCGAATGATTAATGGCGCAAATATTGGTACATCTCTGAGGAAGTGAGCATAGCAGTTTATTCATCCTATAGCCCGCAAGTAGGGGGTATCAACCCTTGGACGCGTGGAGGATGTTTAAGCTGTATTCATATGTAAACTTTTATGTTGTTATTTTGGTACCAAGCAAAGTCTATTGCGTGTTGGCCACACGTCAATGGTATTTGCATCTATCTGACGACGCGCGCGTTAATTAAATATCATTTTCCGGAAATAACATGATCTAACCTAAAGTATTTTTGCGCCAGTATGACGATGCTTTCGAAGGAGTATGCAGTTTACGAGACATTGGAGCAGTAAAAACGGTGTGTTAGTCCGTCTTTACATTAATACTAAAAGTCTATTATAATATGCTAATTTTTTAAAACACAGAATAAAGAAAAGCCTCTCAGTTTTGAACAGATTGAGAAGAACCAGTCAGAGTTGAAGTCTAAACTTATAGTATGTTTTAATTATCTGTTAAGAGACTAATATCAGTTCTAACTTCTGGGTGTATGTCGTCAGCAAAATTCGTCCCCGCTTTATGACGAGTTGCTTAATGCTTTGGGAGGTGTGCTTGTTTCCGATTTATCATGGAAGCATCCTATCGCAAGTCAGGTTATTTGCGATGATTCGGAGCTAGTGAAGAATTTGCCGAAAAAAATAAAAAGATCCTTTATGGTAGGTGATCTTGTTACTACCATCATATTTTCATGCAGGATAAATACCTTAATTTTTTATAGGAACCAGCCCGTAAGATGATACCTACCTTCTTACCAACAATCATTCGAGAAACATGCGGAGAATTTGTGTCAAGCTATAATGAACTTCGGATGGAGATCCTACCAGAAAAATTAGAACATGATAGATCCTGGAAAGAAGAAGAGGAAATTCTTGCGGAAGTCACAAAAAGAATCCTCGGCGTCTTGAGTGATGTATGGAACAATCCAGCATTCGGGCTCGAATTCATAGAATTGCAAAATGAGGGTACTTATGTTACGAATATCATTGTACCTATAATTCATGCCGTGTTAAAAGATCTTCCTTTTGGGAAGTCTTCATATGTTAGCACGTAAGTTGTATTTAGAAATATTAATGCGGATTCGAAGATATTAATTTTTATGTTTTATTCAGCTCGGAGAAACAGAGTATTGCCAGTGCAGACAGGAGAGGAGAAGGATATTCCGGAAGACGGCCAGATATAATGTTTGTATTGAAACATGGAGAATATATTTATGAGCTTATATATGCTGAATGTTCCCGTTTGGTTTGTACTGAGCGCAAAAAAAGAAATGATAGCGTTAAGTTGTGGAGAGAAGTCAATGATGGAATTTTTTGGACCCGCAAAGGATGTTATCCAGACAAAGATAAGTTTGGAATAATTGGAATTCAAGTTGCTGGTATGTTTTCCTTTTCATATTATATATTTCATCGCGTAACAATGTCTCACACAAAAATAGGGCGTACACTACATCTCAATGTGCTTATCAGAGATTCGGGTGATATCCACCGATATTATCATCTCAAATCAGCAGAAATACCCGTACAACAAGCTGAAGAGGATGTTGTGACAGAATTTATAGAAACTTTATTGATTTTGCGGGTATGTTGTAATGAAAACGCAACTTAAAATTTTAATCAAACTAACTTATTCATATATTGTAGAATATTTTAGTGGTTAATATGAGCCTTATATTTCATGCTCAGGTACCTAGATCACGTAGGCGTATGGAAAAAAGCTCAACTGTTTCTTCCGATCCAGAATAACCAGTTTATTTTATATGTTTGTCATGTATTTATTCTTACTGTGTATTACAAATAAAAAAGTACTTTGTTGTAAAGCGATCTTATTTTTCGTGTGGGTTTACATCAGATGGTGTTTTTTTTTTACCCAAAGTGATCGGCGTTACAAATTGTAACACGTGACTCCGTGAAAAAAATTCACGCACTTTAATATTAACATACTAATACTACATTACGCTAGCATGCAATCCGAAATAGATGAGACCGATTCATTGAAAATATGCATTGCCAGGCTTGAGGTCGAAAATGCCGAAC